GTACACAGCTGATCTTGCACACATGATATTACTCAATTCTACAATGATCTTGGCTCTGGTAACAATACGCACCTTACCGTTCGTAATATTATATTTCGTACCTAGAGCCAAAAATAAGGTAGATAGCTTCTTAAGAGCTGTGAAAAAAAATGTCTTCAGCAATGTATATGGATACAGTTTATGCAATGTACATTAATGTTTAAGTGTATAAGCGAACAGTTGATTTTCGGCCATAGGGCCGCAAAAACCTGCTCGGTCCCCAAACTTACGATGACAGCTGGCATGGACGGCAATAGGTAGTTTTCAGCCTTTGTAAAACAGCTAAAAACATCGTAGTGTGGTAAAAATAATTGTTGGGTTTTGTCTACATATGTGTGTTTATCTATATAACACCGGAATACATCAAGTAAACTACACCACTTTCACTAATGCACGTATATATAATGTCGTGTTAAACACCCCAATCCCTAGAGGAACGCGAGGCAGCTCTAAGCTTTGGTGGTTGATAAAGAGGGTCAGATGTAAGATAACAGTGGAGCTGTCTCCACCAACCCCCGTACACTACCTACCCTCCCCTGCATTTGCTCCTTTAACCTTGTCATCTGCTTCGTTAGCGCCGCCCTTATTAATGTAGGGAGCTTTAATAAGCGCCGTCATCAAGTTTTGTGTCAATAAATTAGTGATATTTACTCATACAATAAGTTCTTAGATACTTATTATGAGACTTGTTTTATATTAGTTTTATAACCCAATATTATACATTTAATTATCAATAGGGAATTTTGGTTATTCAAGCTGGGACTTTAGTTTTCTCAATAAAGAAAGAAAAAAATTAAAAAAGCAATAATGACATATTTTTTTCCATAATGCTCCTAATGCAAAATAATATTGCGTTATTAGCATACATTTTAGTGGCATTTTCAACTGTGTGGTCAAATCGTTTTTAGTTAACGATTGTGCAAAATATTGTACTCGATGGAAAAACCCTGCCAAATACAGCAGTGGTGGTTCATACTGTACTGTTGCCATAACGATACTGATACAACAGACAATGATAGTTTGAATAGTGTAGCCTATTCGATAAAACTTCAGCGAGGGGGTATGAACTGTTGCCATCATGACAACAACAAATATTGGTTATGTTAGTGATTGTGTGAGCATACCTCATAGAAAGCCAATGTTAAACAGATCGGTGACGGTAACTGAGGTATTATTGCTACATGATCACTGATAGAACAAACACGTTGGTTGTGTCAATGATATATACCATTTCTGTACACTGTGCTCAGTTAAGTCAGTAGCAGGAGCTGTGATGTTAGTTGTTTTACTGTCGCCACATGTTCACATAACAACAAACATTCGTTGTGTCAATGGTTGTTTGCCAATACTGTACTGGATAGAGTCACTTGCAAATAGAGCAGAGATGTCAGTTGTTTTACTGTCGCCACATGGTCACATAACAACAAACATTCGTTGTGTTCCTATACTGTACTTGATAGAGTCACTTGCAAATAGATCAGTGATGACAGTTGTTTTACTGTCGCCACATGGTCACATAACAACAAACATTCGTTGTGTCAATGGTTGTTTACCTATACTAAACTTGGTAGAGTCACTTGCAAATAGAGCAATGGTGTCAGTTGTTTTACTGTCGCCACATGTTCACTTACAACAAACATTCGTTGTGTCAATGGTTGATTGCCTATACTGTACTTGATAGAGTCACTTGCAAATAGAGCAGTGATGTCAGTTGTTTTACTGTCGCCACATGGTCACATAACAACAAACATTCGTTGTGTCAATGGTTGTTTACCTATACTAAACTTGGTAGAGTCACTTGCAAATAGAGCAATGGTGTCAGTTGTTTTACTGTCGCCACATGTTCACTTACAACAAACATTCGTTGTGTCAATGGTTGATTGCCTATACTGTACTTGATAGAGTCACTTGCAAATAGATCAGTGATGACAGTTGTTTTACTGTCGCCACATGGTCACATAACAACAAACATTCGTTGTGTCAATGGTTGTTTACCTATACTAAACTTGGTAGAGTCACTTGCAAATAGAGCAATGGTGTCAGTTGTTTTACTGTCGCCACATGTTCACTTACAACAAACATTCGTTGTGTCAATGGTTGATTGCCTATACTGTACTTGATAGAGTCACTTGCAAATAGAGCAGTGATGTCAGTTGTTTTACTGTCGCCACATGGTCACATAACAACAAACATTCGTTGTGTCAATGGTTGTTTACCTATACTAAACTTGGTAGAGTCACTTGCAAATAGAGCAATGGTGTCAGTTGTTTTACTGTCGCCACATGTTCACTTACAACAAACATTCGTTGTGTCAATGGTTGATTGCCTATACTGTACTTGATAGAGTCACTTGCAAATAGATCAGTGATGACAGTTGTTTTACTGTCGCCACATGGTCACATAACAACAAACATTCGTTGTGTCAATGGTTGTTTACCTATACTAAACTTGGTAGAGTCACTTGCAAATAGAGCAATGGTGTCAGTTGTTTTACTGTCGCCACATGTTCACTTACAACAAACATTCGTTGTGTCAATGGTTGATTGCCTATACTGTACTTGATAGAGTCACTTGCAAATAGAGCAGTGATGTCAGTTGTTTTACTGTCGCCACATGGTCACATAACAACAAACATTCGTTGTGTCAATGGTTGTTTGCCAATACTGTACTGGATAGAGTCACTTGCAAATAGAGCAGAGATGTCAGTTGTTTTACTGTCGCCACATGTTCACATAACAACAAACATTCGTTGTTTCAATGGTTGTTTGCCAATACTGTACTTGATAGAGTCACTTGCAAATAGAGCAGTGATGTCAGTTGTTTTACTGTCGCAACATGTTCACATAACAACAAACATTCGTTGTGACAATGGTTGTTTGCCTATACTGTAGTACTTGATAGAGTCACTTGCAAATAGAGCAGAGATGTCAGTTGTTTTACTGTCGCCACATGTTCACTTACAACAAACATTCGTTGTGTCAATGGTTGATTGCCTATACTGTACTTGATAGAGTCACTTGCAAATAGAGCAGTGATGTCAGTTGTTTTACTGTCGCCACATGGTCACATAACAACAAACAAACGTTGTGTCAATGGTTGTTTGCCTATACTGTACTTGATAGAGTCACTTGCAAATATAGCAGTGATGTCAGTTGTTTTACTGTCGCCACATGGTCACATAACAACAAACATTTGTTGTGACAATGGTTGTTTGCCTATACTGTAGTACTTGATAGAGTCACTAGCAAATAGACCCTTGATGGAAGTGCATGTCCATTAAGTGTGAAACGTTCAATAGCAACCGCATTTTAGCTTACCATGTAACATTGATTTATGCAACTTCAGTTCAATGTTGCACTACACAATTATTTTACTGGAATGATTTGCTCATTAAACATGTCCGTACTGGGTTTTATGTGACTGTTCATTTTGTAAAAGACAATAAAGAAAAAAGTTAAACAAACTTGACATTTACTATTTATTCCTTTGCCAGCTGATTTTCGTATATCCACGACTTATCTTGTTTGGATAGTATTATAAAATTTTCCTAACGACAATTAATTGGCATTTGGGTTTGTAAACATCACACCCTGGAAACGACGCTTGGATTTGGAGGTGAGCACTATAAAAATTTGGCTACCGGGACAATTAATTGTTTGCCAGCCTAGTTTTAAGCTTCTAACTATACAAAAGGGAATTTTCCGACCCCCCACATGTAGGATACAAAAAGATCAGATTGGTTAGGACAGCTTTCCCTTAAAAGCGTGTATGGTTTTTAATGTTCTTCTTCTTTCTCGTGATGTTTCAGTTTAGTGAGCTACCCTACTGGACGCACAATTTTTATTTCAGGATTAGTATTGTCAACAGTGTCATTTGGAGGCTTCTGATTGACTATAATTAAGGTTTACTAATCGAAAAAATAGTTCTGTTCATAAAATACAATTATAAATGCCTCAAATTCATTTTTTAAATGTTTTAATTATAAAATTAAACCGTCATAACTTAACCAAACTAACCAAACTTGCTGATAATAAAAAAACCGAATGAACGTTTACTTCTTAATCAAAAAATAGTTCTGTTCATAAAATAAAATTATAAATGCCTCAAATTCAATTTACATTTTTTTAAATTATAAAATTAAACTGTCATAACCTAACCAAACCAACCAAACTTGATGACAATGAAAAAATTGGAGACAAAAAGTTAGTGCTATCGACGGAATTCGAAACCGATACCTTCAGATTATTAGTCAGACAAGCTATCCACTAGACCACCGAGGCCGATATTGCACTAATGTATCGTTTAGTTAATGATGTTCCCACAGCCAATCAGAAGCCTCCGAGTGACACTGTTGACAAAACTAATCCTGAAATAAAAATCCAGCCTACTGCACAGAGGCTAGTTATAAGACTATGTTCTCTTCAAAATGTCACTGATATATACACTAACAAAAATATGCATCTTTACATATTAACATAACCAACCGTACATGTACTGTACCAGTCGGATGCAAGACTTGACACAGTGAGTTATTTTATAGACTTCCACATCATTGCTGTCCTCCAGGACAGACTTGGATACATTAGGACCAGAATAAATGGCTACATTATACATCGCCGCATCTTCTGAGCAACGTATTGTTGTTGGTCACCGTCTGTGTCTCTTGAGTCATTATTTATTCTGATGTCAGGTCTATAGATTCGCTGAAATCTTCTATCCTTGTTAAGGTTGTTTGATACAAAACTCCGCCCATGAAAATTAACATTATTCCTAAGCTTAGAGATGGATTTTGAATTAATTTACATGTAAAACTCTTCATTTGAACAAATTTCATCTTAAAAAGATTACATAGGTAAAATGTTTCATTGAAGGCGGTTCTCGTATATACAGGTGTTGAAGGATTGGAATATTGAATTGGTATACCATTTACTTAATTTCTAAACTAAATTGTTTTGTTACAGGACATAAACTGATTCCTCGCAAATGATCATGTAAGTATCACAGTATATTTAATCATAATACGTGTTTATTAGTATAATTCAAAACATCCTACCTTTTCATTTGGGCTATCTAAAGTTTTAATGAACTAAATATAAGGTTACCTAGAATTAATTATAAAACTCACATTAGTTTCTTCTTGTTCGACATATTTAGAGTCCGCACCTTAACAATATAAGTAATCATAAAAATAGCATGTCAAAAGGTGAGGTTTTTTTCAAACAGATTGGGAAATTTATACAAATTATTCCAGAAAACCCCAGTATTTCATATTCAGTGCTACAAAATATAATTATATAGAGATACATCTATACAAATACCTCAATTAATACAATTTTGCGCCATGTAATAGAACATAATATGATGAAGAGTAACAGTATATTTCTGAAACAATAAACTGTAGTTAAAGTGAGGGAGTTTTTTTATGCTTTGATTGACACTTGGATGTGTAGAAGTGCAATTTATAAAACTGTCAACATAGTATTTTGATGTTGACAGTTTGAAATTACTTTTGTTTGGTTATTTTTAAGTTTATAAATTTATATATGTTTCGTATCTTGTGTTAATGTTATAAGGCAACGCACTTAGATATCATTAATCGATATCGACTCAATAGTCAAAAAAATTTGTAAAATGTGTATGCTTTGTTTATGATTCTTAAATCCTATCAACCTCAAACCCTTCATTAAGTTTAAGGAAAACTAGTCAAATCAATTATAATATTTTCCGATAATATCAATAACAACAGGCCTTAACTACTTTAAATTTGTGAGTGTTATTTCAACGAATTATTTAAAAATTCGTTTACATTTAACTATTGTTAATGCATTTAATAGTAGTTTGTGGTTGTTCAGTAAATATTTACCTAAAATCCATATCTCATACCGCCTTGTTCTTCACGGTAACACTCTCCTGATTAAATTCCCTTAGTAAATTACCTCCAGTAATATACGTTGCCACAAACACAATCGAACTAAGTAATACACATACACACATAAAAGCAGTCTTCTATAATTACAACAGATTATATTGTTGTGTTAACTATCCTACCTATTAGTATTACCTAAAAAAAGTAAATGAAAAGACCCAAGCACAGATACCGAGTTGCCTCTAATAGTCAAAAATATAATAATAATCCATTTAGAGAAATTACCAATTTAATTGCCTGTCATATTTATTTATGAAACATAAGCTGGCACTCAATGTAACAATATTGTAAAACATTTTTAGTATGTATTGAAACAATGGGTTATTACAGAAAAACCCGTAGCGCACATTTCCTGTAAAGTATTTTCCAGTAACAAATGACCACTTTGATATATTTATGAGGGTGCTGCTGACGTATGTAAAAGGGATGATCAGTAACCCAATTTACAAGTCAAAGACGTCAACATGGCGGACATTGACGGCCAGCGAGGTACGTCAATAACGGCAATTGACGGCTGTACTGTACGACCCCCTCCACTTCTGACACAGCACATCCATCCTGTGTTGAACGCATTTTTACTTGTGACTTTTGACGAGCTCTCAATGTTTTTTTTGGAAATTATAAGGATAAAAGTACTTATTTTGTGTAGGTAATTACAACGTGTATTTTAATATTTTTTTGATTTGAAAGTTAATTAAAGTTTTATTATAAACAGACAGTAGATATTTTATTGCATCTATATCAGTAGGTCCCTTATTGGCTTTATAGTGGAGTTAAATGACTATTCTATAAATTGACAGTAGTAAAAATGTTGTTAGTTTTTTTTTATTTACAACAAAATGTAGATTGTTTCGCAATTTAACGTGTAAAGGGAAGTATAGTCTTTCATGTGTTTTGTATTTTATGAAATAAACAATCTTTCAAAGTAGTAGTTTACCTATGTTCAGTTATTAATTTAAAACTGCGTACTAGATCTCATAAAGATTCGTTTCGTAAAAATGCAAAGTATTGAAAGAAATCACAAATAAAGAAGTTGAAAGAACAAAACATCAGTCTGGTTTTTAATACGTAATATTTATGAATCGTTATTGTTATTTTCACATAAACAGAAAAGTTAAACTTTCAAATACATTAAATTATTCGATTAAGTAGAAAGCTGTGAACTAATTTATAGCTTGCTAACTACTTTTAAAATATATTGACAGCTTTGAATTTCTAACAGTACAATTAAGAATTGTGTGATATAATTCATGCATTTAAAAACAAATTTCTATCGATATAAAAATTAATCTTGAATGTATATTCGAAAAAGAAAAACTAGGTTGTAACTTGTTTAAAGTTGAGTGATTGACAAAGTCCGGGTCGCGAGAAGCCCATGATGGACTGATAATTACTTACATTGTTCTTTTTATAGCGAAGTAAATTTAAACTTTTTAATTAGTCCTTTAACATTATGCGCAAAGTGATTTTCCGCCATCTAAAATCTTACAGGAATTTTTACCTGTTATATCGAGTTTGAAAATATCTTTTAAAGTACAGTAGCTACGCAATGTTTTTTCCGCCTTACATTATCCAATGCGAGAAATTAACTCCACAAGTCTACCTTTACTATTTTATTAGATAAAAGACAATGATCACATTTTAGCAAATTTGTTCTAACCCCTTTAGTAAAATCATTAAAACTGTGTAGGTGGTCAAGTTTTTATCATATTAAAGTCTGGTGCGAGGATAACGGGTTCGATTCCAAGTATTCAAACCAAAATATGGGAGTCGTTTTGACCGCTTTTCCCTAAAAGGAGTTTAAATATTTCGTCTAGAGTACATTCAAAAATGTTTTTTTTAGATTAGATCTGATCGGATTCCAAATAAATCTATGTAATTACAACTAATAATGCATTTCCTATGTTTTCATATGTATTAGTACTATTTAAATTTCCAACTCAGATCAAATACATGTTAAGTCAAACATTTTAAACCGAAAACATCACATAAACTGTAAAATACATAATACATTTCAACATTAGATTTCTTATTGGTTATCGGTTTTGTCGAAATGCATTCCTATCATTCTAAACCATAGTCATTGGTTCCACTTTGAAATTAACAATTAGTTTATGGTTAAACAGATGTTACCGTTCTAAAGATATTTATAATTCTGTACGTATATATTTAATTGATTGTTATGAAGGTAATGACTCTAGGTCAAGGCATGTGCAGCATAGCTTATTGTGCATTCGCATATGTTTATGTAATAGCTTAGATATGAGGCAGGCCAACACATCCACTCGTACGTATCAAAGTCAGTCATTGTATACCTCGGTCACGTAGCAGCCATTATGGCCATACTTTACCTGTGTGAATAATGAATCATGGCCAGACGGCGCACGAACCTCTGAGGCCAGTACAGATTGAATGACCGTCTGTTGAATGGTACTACTTCCACTGTTCGATTTAGTCGTACTTCGTGATGGGATGTAGTAAAATCTGTGGTTAATTTTGTGTTACTAAAGTTTTCTTACACATACGAGAACCACTTTAGTTTATTTACAGTACAAATTCGAGGTATGAAGTATTAAAAAGGTGTTAACCGTACTGATTCATCTACTTTATTTCCCCCTCATACTGTTTTAAGTTAAAAGTATTTTTTTCCTTGACCACTTAAATTATTCCTTAGATATAAATTTAATTTAAAATACTTTGCCTTACTTAAGAAATGATTATTTCAAATAATACGAATTTATTAAAATTGTAAGGTGGAAGAGAATGTTAAGCTTTCTGGTGGCAACTTCTTTTATAAATCCTAAGAAAAATCATACGTTGCTCAGAAACATAAAAATCATACTTGTATGTCTGAGACTTATAATTATGTTCATTATTATAATTTAAATACTTCTGCCACATTTCCTATCATACGACTTTCAATACCTATACGAACCAATATTTTCGCTTTTGTTTTATATCTTAATGTGCATTTAATTCAGATAGCTACAAATTGGTGAATCTTTAATAGTAATATAGTTACTCTTACTATAGCATTGTCACTATTTCTCAAAAGGTTGTCAACTATTGGTATCCCTATTGTTGAATTCGTAACACTTTAACAATCAGTTACATTAATGTCACTAATTTAACCGCTACCCTTCATAAAATGACAAACGTGGTTAATCATTACTAAAGTAGTGATTGCTTTTGCCAATGCAGCTACTAATTTTGCTATTTGTGATTTTCCTAACACTATTTACACATCTAATCGACAATATTTACATTAAGTTTAAATTTAAATCACTTTTCTATCAATTAACTTATGCAGTCTTTATAGAAACTAATACAAATGACTCTGTATAATCCAACATTTATGGGACCAATAAGGTGTCCATTTCGAAAAATACTAAGTTTAAATTTTAAATCTAGAATTATTAAGCATTATTTCTACTTATCATTAGTTAAGCTTTCAAATTAATCGTATTGTAGTATAAGATTAATATTGAGCACAAAAGCCTGTTTGATTTCGTCTAATACACTCTCGTACAGCTTTATCTCATAGGTCAGAATATCGTGAAGTAGCCTATAATCAAAATTATAAATTCTGTTAGCCGTAGCTTTATAAAATAAGTTAAACTTCTCAAAATGTCAGGTGATTAAACTGTCAAAAAATCCAATAAAGCATAAGTTATTCTACAAATGTGGCTACACATGTTGTGTATCTTATTCTACACAATAATAACCACTTTTTACTGTTAAGATCGCGAAATCGAACTAGGGATCGTGACTAGAAACACGCGAGGTTCCTTTACAATACAAACAAATTACGATACTCTAAGCAACGTCGGATTACCGAGTGTGTCGATTCATCGACAGTAAGCAGTATACAAAGTTCCGTAGCAGACAAAAGCGTACTTTAACCGAATTAGTAGGCATACTAGAGGGTTCCTATTTACTGCAGGTAATGCCACTTTTATGCCTTGCTTTACAAGTAGCACGCTATCTACTGTGGTTCTCGTGTCTTCCTCCAGGCTTGGGTCACGCACCTATCAAGCTTCCCATCTATCGAGTTGTAACCTCCTT